AAGAAAGGAAGGAGAGAGAAAGAGGAAAGTGAAGGTTGGTGAGAAAGAAATGGGTCGGCAGCCATAGCCGAGTTGAGGGTTGACCAAGGCGTTGACCGAAGGGTTGACCAACGTTGACCAAGACTTTGACCGAGGAGCTGACCAGGGAGTTGACCGGCGAGTTGACCAAGCGTTGACCAGCGTTGACCAGCGTTGACCGGAGCTGTTGACCACGAAATTGACCAAGCTGGAGTTGGTATACCCTCGCCAAGCCTTCAGCCTATTCCCTCGCCCTATGGATATGCACTCACCCTATGGTACTTGCCGAGTCTGTCTGTCTCTTCTTTCTGCATTGAGTCTCTTCTATCCAGGAGATAGGAACTCCGTGAATGTGGTCATAGAGCTGTGTTGACCAAACCCACATGGGCTGAGTAGGGTTAAAGGCCATGTCTGACGAATGACTGACCCAGAGAGCAAACCCTCCCAAGGACCGGTACAGACCGGCAGGCTGCTCATTGTGGCATGGTAGGCCCAAAATCCGAGTTGTGGGCTGCACAACCAGCTGTCTAAGTGTTGAGAGGACTTGCTGATCGTGTCGTCTTGTTTGCGACGTTAAACAATTCCTGAGGAGTTATGGGGGATCTCCTTAAATGCCTCCTGATCAGCGCTGAAGTCCTGTAGTGACACTTTAGTAATAGGTTTAGGCTAGAGACCCTAGTTGACAAGGTCATGAACCGGAGTGAAAGCCAGGTGGGATTGACCGCAGGTGCAGGGCATCTGGGTCTGGATTGTAAAGGACAGTGGTGGTGAAAGCTTTCGTCGGCCGTGGTAACCTGGCTGGATAAAAGGGTAAGGCTCTGTGGTCCTTAGAGAGTCGGTCAGTAAGTTAAGTCAGTCAGGGGGTAGAAGTCTAAGTGGTGAGGAGTGGAACCGTCACTCGGTTGTACATCTGACACCATGGTTGACCTGCGTAGCGGTAAGAGCACCACCCCGTACACTAAGGCTCAGGAAGAGTAAGCCACCGTCATCCTAAAAGAGAGAAAAGAGAAAGAGTTGATCAAGCAGGCCAACAAGTTGGCCTTAATGGAGGAGCAGGCGGCAAAGAAGAAGAAACTAGAGGAGGAGATGAAGAAGTTAAAAAAAGAAGAGGAGAAGTTGAAGGCAGTAGAAGAGGAGGAAGTGGAAGTGGAGGAGGAAGTCCCCTTAGAAAGAAAAGCTAGATCGGAAAGGGGAGGGTCAAGTGGCACGAAACAGGAGGACCCATGCATGGAGAATAAGATTTTGGAGTGGGTTGCTAATCTGTCCCTGGGTGAAGAGGAGACGACGATGTTGAGTCTCCAGGGCAGAATAGGAGGCGGTCATAAGGGAGTTGGAGGCCGAAGAAGACCCCCTCAAACGCCAGACGATAGAAGAAGAGGAAAAGTTAGAATGAAAGTTGTGTATGACCAAGGAAAAAAAGCAAAGTTTGGAGGTGGCAAGCAAGGCGGCAAAGGAGTTGGGGGTGAAACAGCAGAGAGTGTAGATGAAGGCACAAGCGGATTGGCAGGGGAAGATAGAAATTATGGCAAGGAATATAGAACTCCTGGCTCAGACCCAGGAAGAGCAGTTCCAATTCACAAGAAGTCAGGATATAGCTCTGCGATCGATACAATTGGGGTTTAGAGAGTTCGCACACGAAATGATGATGCACGTGGGCTCAGAGGTGAAGGCGAGGTTAAAAAATACAGAGCGATTCTATAACGGCGCCATAGAAGGCGCGAAACTTGTTGTTCCAAGGGAGGAGGAAGTTCGTCCCCATAGAGAGCCAGTTAAGGTAAAGTTTCCTAACTCCTACAGTGGGAAGAAGGAGGAGAACTTCAATAACTGGGAGGCAAACGTGAACTCTTATGTTCACCTCGAGAAGATAACCCCTGAGGAACATGTCCGCATTGCCTTCCATGCCCTTAAAGACGAAGCAGCTAGCTTCGGCAGGTCGCTTGCCCGAGCTTCTAAGTGCGAGAACGATATGGTCGCATATTCCCTAATCACCCCCCTGAGTGACCAACAACTTGACAATAACTGGGTCAATGGGTTTCTCTTCCTTAGGCTCAATGACAGGCCTAACATAGGCTACGAAAACCTGTTTTTCTAGTTGCTCCTTTCTCACTAGTCGCGCGAACGCGGGAGCACTGAGGCAGCAATGTGCTAAGGTATTATCTACCCCTGACACATGAAACAAGCGAGCAGTCTTATCTTTGCCTGATGGGCTAGGTGCGATTGTCTGCAAGGATGTTGACTATAGGGTCTTCTAACTTTTGGACCTTTAGATCCAACTTTAACTTCTGCAGCGCTTTCCTACTAATATAGCTGCGAGTTGCCCCAATGTCTAAAAGGCCCCTACTCTGCCTCTAAAAACTTATACATCCACTAACACTAGCTATCCTTTCACATCTTTCTTCATCTTGGCCCAGGTCGGCATTCTCTCCTTCAATTTTTATGCCACGCCTGTGAGGGAAGTGCCTAGAGAGACCCTAACACAAGCATTCTCTGGACAACTTTCTAGGCACTGGCCAGCAACCTCTGCCATGGACACATGTGGGTTGGGAGTTTCTCTATGGTGCGTGCACTCTTCTCCACATGGTCTAGGGGTAAGGGCAGTTGCGACCCCTACCGGCGGTTGCCTTTTGTTGCCTGTGCAGCATACCTGACCTCCCTATATTTGGGGCAGTACTTAATAATGTGCCCCGGATCACCGCAATAAATGCACTAATCCTCGTCTATCCTCTTCTGCCGCACTTTTTGATCTAGGCCTAGATCTTCCCAGGGTTTGCCTTGTGGCCAGCCCAGGTGCCATCCACCCCTCCTGGGAGGTGATCAACTGGAACGCAGACGATTTGGCGGGGACCTTGACCCCTACCTCCCTCTTGGCGGTTTCCTCTGCCGCCAACCCCCTGAGCGCCCTGTCCTAGACCACCAGAGGCCCGACCCCCTTGGCCCCGGCCTCCTCCTCTTCCTTGCAGCCTCCCTCCAGCCGCGACAGCAACATAAGTCCTCCCCTGACTCCCACTGTTGTCCTCCTCCTTGAGGCTCCACTCAATCTGACTATACGGGACCTCCTCCATACCACCTTCAAAGGATCAGGTGATCCTTGCCCTTAACCTGACCCGAGATGGTACTACCCTTCCACTTTTTCCCCTTATCAAGGTCCTTATGGCAGAAAGTGGAAACTGGCATGGACTGCGCTTCGAACGCTACCACTTCCCTACTCAGAGTATCGTAGGTCATGGTCGCTTTAGCACTCCTCCATTGGCGGGAATGGATGGTCTGCAGCTTATCAGAAGCTCTAACACTTCGCGTGACATCTGCAGCAGCCCATCCAGCATCGTATTGAGATAGAACCTGGCAGTAGAACTCCTAAGGGAGCTATCTATAGAATGTCCCCAAGGGAGTTAGAGGAGCTGCGCAAGCAGTTAGATGAGCTCCTCGAGAAGGGTTGCATTAGGCCCAGTTCATCTCCTTTTGGAGCGTCTGTTATGTTCGTCCCCAAGAAGGAGGGAGAGTTGAGAATGTGTATTGACTATACAGGTCTTAACGCCATCACAGTAAAGAATGCAAAACCACTGCCCCGTATCGATGATTTGTTCAGATAGAGGTTCATCCTGATAATCAGCACAAGACAACATTCAGAACCAGATATGGGCACTATGAGTTTATAGTGATGCCCTTTGGACTAACCAATGCGTCAGCTACATTCCAGCGTTGTATGAATGATTTGTTTAGGCCATGGTTAGATAAATTCGTGGTAGTGTACTTAGACGACATCCTAATCTTTAGTAAGACCCTCCAAGAGCATGACGGCCATCTGAGGCAAGTCTTGGAGAAGATGAGATTAACGTGAAGAAGTGCGAGTGGGCCAAAACGCAAGTCCTGTACTTGGGCCACGTGCTAGATGTCAGTAGATGGTGATGGCATAAAACTTGAGGACAGTAAAATAGTAGCGATTAGAGACTGGTCGACTCCCCGCACATTGACAGAGTTGCAGTCGTTCTTAGGATTGGCCAATTACTATAGAAAGTTCGTCAGAAATTTTTCTACCATCACTGCTCCCCTTCGCAGGTTGCTAAAGAAAGAAGCAATCTGGAAATGGGATATAGATTGTACGTCGCCCTGAAGAAGTTGAAGTGGGCCTCAATAGAGTATCCAGTCCTCAAGGTAGTTGACCCATCATTACCTTTTGTTGTCACCACTGACGCAAGTCAGTACGGTATAGGTGTTGTTCTACAACAAGATGATGGCAATGGGTATAGACCCGTAGAGTTCATGTCTGCTAGGATGCCTTCAAAGAAGGTAGCGACATGTACCTATGAGAGGGAACTCTATGCTCTCAGGCAAGCACTAGACCACTGGAAGCACTACTTGCTTGGGAGGCACTTCAAAGTGTATTCAGACCACGAGACGCTGAGCTGGTTGAAGACACAGGCCAAGATGACACCTAAGCTGACTAGGTGGGCCGCAAAAATAGACCAGTTTGACTTTGAGCTCAAGCCAGTCAAAGGGAAGTATAATGTAGTTGCGGACGCTCTAAGTAGGAAAGCTGATTAGTTTGGAGCAATCGTTCACTATTTGGATATAGGGCGAGACCTGCAGCAGAAAGTTAAGGAAGCCTATGCACAGGACCCTATTTATAGTGATCTCCTCAAAAGAGTTAAGGAGTCTCCAAAGTATGCGCCAGATCACCGCAATACAGATGGATTACTATTCGAGAAGACTGACATAGCTGACCGCTTGTGCGTTCCCAACAGTGAAGAGATCCGAAGTCTGATCTTGGGGGAATGCCATGATACAGAGGGACATTTTGGGTCGCAAAAGACATTAGCCAACCTCATGCGCGCGTATACTTGGCTTGGCATGAAGACTGACTGCATAAAGTATGTACGCAGTTGTAAGGTGTGCCAGCTAAATAAGACCACTACGCGATCCCCTCTTGGTCTTCTCAGACCCTTCCCTATTCCCAATGGGCCCGAAAACTCTGTATCCATTGACTTCATGGATGTTGGGGTCAAGAGTAGGCATGGCAAGGGCCAAGTCATGGTGATAGTTGATAGATTTAGTAAGTATGCAGTATTTGTTCCTTTGCCTTCTAAGGCACGTACATATTTAGTAATACAGAAGTTCTTCGATCATTGGGTCAGTGACCATGGGCTACCGCTGTCTATAGTTAGCGACAGAGATACCCGGTTCACTAGTCAGAACTGGCAGGAACTAATGAGAGTGTATGGCTCTAAGTTGTTGATGTCATCTGGTCGTCACCCAGAAACCAACAGTCAGAATGAGCAGATGAACAAAGTCCTGCAGCAGGTTCTGAGAATGTACATTAGACTCGACCAAGTTAACTGGGATGAGATGCTTCCAAAGGTAGCCAGCGCCTATAATAGCAGCATGCACTTAGCTACTTGTCGCACTCCCAACGAATCGCATAAGTCCTTTAGACCGCGTAGACCGTTTGAGGGACTCAACCAGGAACAGATCCAGAGACCGCCCGGTACTAGGGAGTTCGCGATACAGCACGAGAAAGAGATCGCTACTGTTGTAGAGAACTTCAGGAAGGCCCAGCACAGGATGATAGAACAAGCCAACAAACACCGTCGCCCATCACAATTCCAAGTAGGCGACTTAGTCTGGGTCAAGTCAAAGGAGTTTGCTCCTGAGGAAAACATCTCGCAAAAACTATTACCTGCGTATAGAGGACCGTGGCCTGTCTTGGAAGTCAAGGGTGGAGAGGATGGACAGTCCTACACCATAGAGATTCCAGCACACCTCCACACCTACCCAGTCTTTCATGCGTCAAAGTTGTTGCCTTGTACCACAAGTCAACAGTTTCCATCACAGAGGCCCATGATCCCTCCAGACATGGATGGAAGGTACGACATTGACAGCATTGTAGTGAAGATGTGTTCAGAACAGGAGGTAGAGGTCGTCCACAGAGACAGTACAAGGTTCGATTTGCCTATCAAGAGCCGGAAGACGACCGCTGGTTTACCCTAACAGAGCTTCTAGAGACCGCTCCCGATATAGTCCGCGCCTACGAGGGAGATAAGAAAGGTAAAGGTCCTACCTTGAACTGAAGTATTCTCGGAGGACCTCGAATTTAGGCCGGCGGGAGTGAAACGGTTTTCACCGTAGCAGTAGCAGATGCAGATCCCAGGTCTCGGTCCCTAGACCTTACCACACCCGTGTACAGTATCAAGTCGACCCCTGTGTGTTTGAACCCGTGGCCTGTGTTTGGTAGTTGACTGTTGCCTGTCGTAGGTCTGTGTAGCTGTAGGGGTTCGATCTGTAGATCTGTCGACTAGGGTCATAGTTGTGTAGAGGCCGTAGCTGTAGCAATTCTGAAAGGTCGAGGTCGTAGCTGCTACAGTCCTGAAAGGTCAAGGTCGTAGCTGCTACAGTCCCGAAAGGCCAAGTCCACAGACTTCCGGAAGGTCCGGAAGTGGCCTTTCAAGTTTTTCTCACGTTACTCACAGCAGACCAGAGGCAAGTGGGCAAGTGGCGAGTCCAACTTCGCTCCCAGTCCCAGTCTCACTTTGTACAGTCAGCAAGTACCATGAGGGACTGTGTGCACCATGGGCCCGGAGGAAAAGGGCAGGCCAGCGACTTACAGAAGTATAGATCAAGAGGCAGCGTCCAGCCATTCATTCATTCCTGCGTGAGCCATGCGGAAGCGCTGCCCAGGTGTCTTGTGCGAGGTGGTCTGCAGAAGCCCGAGGTTGAAGTGGGCTGAAGGGAGATAGAGTGTCCATAGCCCGTAGAGGTTAGGCGGCCATAGCCGCTGTAGCTTAGAGATAGAGTTCAGTGTGTGTGTGTGTGTGTGTGTGTGTGTGTGTGTGTGTGTGTGTGTGTGTGTGTGTGTTCAGGACTGAGTTTGTGTGCGTGGGATATCCAGGGAGATCCAGAGTGCGTGCAAATGGTTGTGCGAATACAGTGTCGGATAGAGGATGTGTCAGCGCTCAGGCGCCATAGTTGAATTGAAGCGAGTTTATAACTGAACTGTGTCTTCGACTTGAATATCTCTCAGCTTTGTGTGGGCGCCCAGCGCCAGTGTGGAATGCCATCTGTTTGTATGCAAGCGAAGTGAAGAAGAAAGTGAGTCTGATTGCAGAAAAGATTGAACATGGGTTTCGTTGCTATACCCCTAAAGGCCTTACTCGAGGCGAGTGGGCATTTTCTTCAATGTTGCCAAGATTGGTTCCCTTTCTTTTTCTTTTTTTTTTTATTATCAAACTGGGCCCAGTGCCCAAGGCTGATTTTACGAAATATAAGATAGAGGCCAGGGTCCTCACAGTCTACCAGGATGCGGGAATATCCGGGAGCCTTACCCAGTTTCGTTTTTAACGAGACCCACGAGGACCCAAGTTTCAAGAAAAACAGACATATGATTCCACCAAGATTGGTTCTCAGCAGCGGGTAGCTGGCGCCTGGTACAGGGCGAAGAGGTTTCCTCCTCCTCCTCAGCAACCTGCACAGTTAATCCTCTGGATTCTCAGTCACTTTTCCTGATATCATCCTGATTCATTTTGTATATGGGACGCTGGACCCGTTTTCCAGCAGGTGATGCTCCCCAGCCTCTCTCTCTTTCAAAAAAAAAAAAAAAAAAAAAAAAAAAAAAAAAAAAAAAAAGGTCCCAAAAAAAAAAAAAAAAAAAAAAAAAAAAAAAAAAAAAAAAAAAAAAAAAATGAAAAAAAAAAAAAAAAAAAAAAAAAAAAAGATATTGGTTCCCAAGTTTGAAAGAAAGCAAATGCAGGTAAGGAGGATGTGTAGTAATAGCAGCAACGGCGACGCACCACCTTGTGCGAGTATGTACCAAACATGCGACAACACACAGGAAGAGATAACGGAGGGAAAGAAGGGAGGGAAGGAGAGAGAAAGAGAGAGAGAGAGAGAGAG